TGCCATTTCTTAACAATATGTTAAATGCTAACATTTAAAAGAAAAAACTTCATAAGTATTCCTACACTTCCTATGAAGTTTTCAAATGATACTGAATGCAATCAATATACTCAAGTACTCTGGAAAAGCGGAACAGTGTTTTATGTAGCAGAGCTCTGTTGAGTAATATTGCTCAGTTCCTCAAATTTAGGATGTTCTCTTTTTTTGATCCTATCTTTTTAAGTACTCTAAAATATATGTTCCATTTACTCATGTACACATGTGAAGAGTATTTCTGCTGGTATATTTGCAGTGCTTTGTACCCATTAATTTGAAAATTATTAAATTGCGTAAGGTGGGTTTCAGATACAAGCAAGACGTCTATAAGTTTTTTTTTTTGTAAAATCAAAGTTACGACATTCGTTTGTAATTGAAAATAAAATATCACATAATTGAAGTGGCCCGTTTCAGAAATTTTGACTCATTTACAACATGGTCTTACCATCAGTGTGCAAACCCCTTTTTATTTTAGTGTGGTAGAAATGGCAAAAAAATGGGGTAGATTTGAATAAGATGTGTTAGATTTTCCAATTCATATTTTTATTGGGTATACATATCGCACACCGTCGTCAAAAGAGGCACAACTCAAAAATTAGAACGGGAAATATAAGCGCTAGTGGATCGTACAGATTTAACGCAATTCATTCAAAAATAAGTGCAACATTAGTTTTTTAGCTAGAGAATATAATCGTGAAGAAACAAATATTTTCATTAATTTGAGAAAAGTTCTACAGATTGATTTATGCAAAAAAATCTACCAAATTATTTTTCCATTGTATAATACTTAAGCAAATATAAATATGCGGATTTTTACACTGCTTACCATTTTTGTTTTTTATAACTTTAAAATGACTTTTCCACGAAGATTTGACATGCTCATGAGTATTTAAAAATTAAATAGTTTTTTTGTTTTGTACATTCGTGTATCGGTTTCTCGTTTTATTTTTTATATACCTGCGCTCCGATATTGGGGAATGGACCAAGGCGAATTCATATAAGGTGGTAGTACAAAAACAAAAACTAATATGTATTTTATTTTCGTTTTCGGTACACAAATGTCAAATTTCACCTATTCCTCGCTCAAGGGTGAAGAGGGAAAGAAAATCCCAACACTCTTACTTTCGCACTCACTCATAAGGAGTTTCTGCATATGTGTACCGAGGCGAATTAAAGCAACTGTTCTAGCAACACCACCTTATATGAATTCGCCTTGGGAATTTACCCAGAAATATATTACATACAGAAAATAATAATACAATACAACAAATACAAATTATTTTCAATTATTTTAGGACTAAGTCAAAATTGATATACAATGTATGTTCGGAGGATGACGGGTTAAAAACTGCATACGTTAAAGGCCGGTCCGCATAGAACTTTCACGTTGCACAGTGGTCCAATGTGCAAAGCTGGGGTAATTTAATTAAAATTTTTGTTTGTAATTTTTCGTTAAAATTTTTATCACATATGCAAGAATATTGTCTACTTAAGAGTAAATACACGTTTGTTTGAAAAAATTTGGCTACATATAAACATAACGGTATTCAAAAGTCATAGTAAGCAATAAGTGAAAAAAATGTGCATGCAACGAAAACTGAGTATTTTTAAGGCTCAATAACTTGTTTAAAGAAACTTTGTTTTAACTTCATTTCTTTCTCCGTCATTGTTTTAAGTAAGAAAATTCAAGAAATGTAAAAATTATTACCGAAGTGGACGCACATATTTTTTTGGAGCTGATAAAGTTTTAATCTTTTTAGTGAGTACCAAATTGTTATTTTTTTTTTGTTTTTGTAGAAGAAATTTTTCTTATATGGCGGAATATAGATCACTTATTATACTTATTCTCTCAATTGATGTATATACTAATAGAATCTAAAAAAAAATTCTGCGGCTAGCTGCGGCATCCATACATTTATTTTCAATTTTCAAAATGACTCCTAAAATTTCAAGACAGGAAATTTTTGATTTTTGGCTGTCGACCCCAAAAATGAAAGGCTTGATGGAACAATGGATTTTGTACCAAGGAATATCAGTTTAGGATCTAGTGATAGAATCAAATTTTCCGAAAAAAGAGCGGTTTGTTACTGCAAATAAATATTGGCTTGAATTTGAAATAGACTTGTCACAATTTGTGTGTTCTAAGTTTGGTAAGCCGACATTTTCTGCTGGTAGGCTAGCTAAACGTTTTGAAGATTGTTGCCAAAAAGTTAAAATGAAGAAAGCTAATGAGCTTTCGAAAATCATCGAACCAGATGTATTTCTTTTTGGCCACTGAACTAAAAATGAGATCTTCAGCTACGCTACTTAATGAGCTTTTAAGCGCTTCTCCAGAAAGATGTACTGCTATTAAGAAGGTCATATTGGCAAAGAAGAGTCCTAAAGGTATTTCGTCTGAAAAAGCTCTCGCACTAATAACACTGGCACACAAAACAAATTAGTGTGATGAGCATTTGACTGGACCTACCTATGGTTATGTATTTCGACCCGCAGAATCTGAATTTGAATTCAGTTTGGCCAATATACGTCCTAGATTTCGAGAAAACTTCGAAAAACCGTTTTTTATTGCCGATTTTCGCTATTTTTACGGTTTTTGTTTTTTTAAGTTTTCTCGAAAACTAGGAGGTATAATGGCCAAGCTGACTTCAAATTCGAATTCTGCGGGTCGAAATACATAACCATAGGTAGGTCCGGTCAAATGCACATCACACAAATTTTTTTTTTGTGTGCCGGTGTATTCGACACAAGTTTATCAAAGCATCAGTATCGTTTACTTACTGAGGGCCATTTTCTAATGTAAGCAGTAAAGTTGCCTTTACTAGCAGGGCAGATAAATTGTTCCTCACTTTAAAGTGTTTTGGTTTTCTTATCTTACCGATAAAAATATTTTTGTTATTCCGTAGAGTGAAACTTCACTACATTTCCGAGAGTGAAACTTCACTACATTCGCTAATAGAATGCATTCCAAAACGTCAAAATACAAAGCCTCAGTCTCTTTTATTCCTAAACCTCAGTAGATTGTAATGCCAAATGTGCGCAACCACGATTAGATGCTCGTATTCTACTAGGTGGCTCAAGTTAGACTTTTTCTTCTAGTGCCGTTTAGAAATTAAATAGACTGATGCTTTGTATTTTGTCGTTTTGGAATGCTTGGCAATGCAATATAAGCAAATATAGAGCAAGAGCGACTGTTAGCAAAAACTAAAACCTTGGTTGAAATATCTAATATATCTGACTCATGAACCAAAACCGAACCAAAATTTAAAGTTGGGTACACATTTTTAGAGGTTGCATCGGGTGAGCAAATATTTATCGGTTCGAGAAATTAATGCGCTGATGAGAAAACGATAACTCGTATATCGGTAATCTAAAGGTTAGATGCGGAAGCGGCCTTAAAAGTTCTTAAGCTTGATCTGAGTATTTAAGTTTTTTATTTTATACATATATTAGGTGGCTGATTCGGATCCGGCGTCAATACAGTATATACATAACGGACTTTCTATTTTTAATTCATCCCAAATAGTCAAAAATGTTTTAGGTATGCAGGTATCTATAACCGTGCGCAAGTGCTTAAAAAATGTACCAGAAATTGACGAGAAATTTAACGATTTTTTAATTATAGGGTTGGTAGGCGTGGTCGCTATTCGATCTTGCCCATTTTATGAGCAGAAGTTGTTAGTCATTCAGACATAATTTGGGCAAAATTTCATCCAGATATCTATCTTAGTTCTTAACGTAATAATTAAATTAACCTAATAGAGCAGATTGGAACGCACGTTAAAAGTATGCTTGCTACAATGAACGCTTGGCAGCGAATGCTCGGGCCCCTAAATTAACATACTAACGACAGATAAATTAATATTTCATGTCAATAATTNGGCAAAATTTCATCCAGATATCTATCTTAGTTCTTAACGTAATAATTAAATTAACCTAATAGAGCAGATTGGAACGCACGTTAAAAGTATGCTTGCTACAATGAACGCTTGGCAGCGAATGCTCGGGCCCCTAAATTAACATACTAACGACAGATAAATTAATATTTCATGTCAATAATTGCATTAAAAACGATATTTCTTGCCCGCACTTGATTAAATAGGAAACATATTTCACATAATTTTATTTATTTGCAACAGCTGACGAGCGACACACGCGAAAAGTTGAGAGTTGGCCATCTTTTTGCTTTGTGTTGGCGTGAGCGTTGCCGAATTTTGGCTATGTGGACGGCTGCATTTGAATTCATGCATTCATAGAGAGCTGTTGAAGCGACGCCAACGCCAACGCAACACCAAAGTTCTATGTGGACGGGCCTTAAATGTGTTTTACCATTTTACAGCTTACACTTTTCAGTTACAAAATATGTGGCGAGGTAATGATTTTGTTTAAACAGTTATAGTATAAAAATTTTTTTTAACAGGTATATTTGGTGATCTATCTAGGTCTTTTTAGTTTTAATTAAACACTTAGAACAGAACTGGACGTCGGAATCTTTATTATTACCCGAAAGAACATTCTGTGACATTTACTTTTTTAAAATAATTTCATTAAAATTTTGGCCGCGACTCTGGTCCATTCGGAAGGTACGAATTTCAATTACTCTTTCCAGCATTACGCTAGTTATGTTGGCTGCCAAGTTTTGAACCAAAGCTGGTTTATTGACGAAAACTTTTGAGGTCACATAAACCCAAAGAAAAAATACAGAGGTGTGATATCACACGATAACTTGCTAAAACCAAATGTTGCCGACATCACCGGCTTCAGTTTCAGGCAACAAAAATGCCATTATAAAGGTACGGCAGCGCTCGTTATTGACGGTTATGTTTTGTCTGCGGCCACCATTTGAATGAAATTGTTTTTAAAAAGTAAATGTCAGAGAATGTTCTCCGAGTAATAATAAAGATTCCGACACCCAGTTATGTTCAGAGAATGTTCTTCCGAGTAATAATAAAGATTTCGACACCCAGTTATGTTTTAATTATTATTATTATTTAAAATTAAAAAACAGATATCGAAGTATCGCCCGATATAGGTACTTTTGATTAATTACACAGGTCTGCAAAAAAATGGGTTCGGAATGTTCTATAAAAGTGTAGTGTCATTTCCGAAGTAATTTTTTGCGTAGAATCCGAATCCGGGGTTTAAATTGCTCTATCACGTCAGGACTTTGAGATATCCTAACCTAAAAGTGCAAAAAACGCTGTTTTTGCCCATTTTTGAGGTTATGTAGCTACGAAGATTTTGCTCTTCATAAAAAAGTAGACGTGGTATTTTAAAGTATAAGTCTTCCTCTTTTAAATGCCGTTGAGTTTGCTCAAATATCTTAATTTTTCACTTAGATATCGCATTTTGAAGTCTCCATGTTTGTGAATGTAATCGACCGTATCACGTCTCATGTTATCTCAATGGATTTTCGAATATCGAAAAATTCACAAACATGGAAACTTCAAAATGCGATATCTCAGTGAAAAATAAAGATATTTAAGCAAACTCAACGGCATTTAAAAGAGGAAGACTTATACTTTAAAATACCACGTTTACTTTTTTATGAAGAGCAAAATCTGCGTAGCTACATAACCTCAAAAATGGGCAAAAACAGCGTTTTTGCACTTTTAGGTTAGGATATCTCAAAATCCTGACGTGATAGAGCAATTTAAACCCCGGATTCGGATTCTACGCAAAAAATTACTTCGAAAATGACCCTACATTTTCCTAGAACAAAACGTTGTTGACCTGTGTTATCTATCCATTAATAGTAAAAATTATTGAGCCTGATTGTGCAAATATTTCTTGCGGCAGTCCATATCATCAGCCGGCCGGTTATAAGGTTGCCAAATAGGCTCTCCTACAAAATATCTTTTGGCTTTAATGTAGTTCTGAAAGTATAAATACAATTCAATCCACCAAGCTGATGTAATTCATTGAATAATTCATATTACTTGCACATCCAAAGTGAACCGATGATATATGCCAGCTGGTATGATTATTAAGTCACCTTTTTGAACTGCTATGCGTATCCAATCATCTCTAGCACTGCAAATAAAAACATTTACATTATTTAATTTAACTAAAATGTATACATAAGCATATACAGCATAATGTGCTAAATTGCTTAAACTTCTTCAACACATAAAAAAATTGCTTGAGAATATTTGTGTTTAAAAATATTTTAAATGTTTATACATAGGTATGAAAAAAGTGTAATACATTGGAGTGCAATAAAGTTATTGGGGCATAAACACAGGCCCCTATTATGAGTTGTCTTCGATATTCGACTGTGGTCGAAATTGCTGATCAAACGAATTTTGGTATTATGACGCTCATTCGATGGAGAATAGCGGTATTCTGAATTTCGCTCGTTTTGGTTGTTCACAACAGTATATTTGTCACCACCTAGAAGCTTTGTTTACAAATCGAGCAAACTAAATAGTGTGCTTATACATATTTATGTACATTTTTTTAATTAAAAAGAAAAAAGAAAGCGAGTTTATAAAACCTTGGAAAAATTAGTACAAAGGGAGTTCTGGTTCGACAATTCGTCAGAGGATGAGAGCTTAGTAAACTGGCCCGGAGTAGAAAACGTTTAAATGTAGTCTTTCGAAAATATTTTGACATACAGTCAGTGATGCCAACAGGGGGAGAATTCCCCTATTTTGGGGGAATTTGAATTTTTCAAGGGAATCGGGGAATGGCTTTAAATTTTGGAGGAATTCAACATACTAACGATTTTTATTAGAACATTCCTATTGAGAATAAAATTACAGATTGTATTTACAATCTCTCATTACAGCGTTACAGATTTAAAACATAACGTAATTGCCTCAGGTAACGGGGATATATTAAAGTAATTGAAACCGTGCATAGCGACACTTCTCACTTGAGGTTTATAATTGACACTATCATTTCTCACTTCGTTTTCGGCGCCAAGCCAACATCAGGCAAAGTTTGGGCAGTATATTAAAAGTAAGTATTTAACAATATATAGAAAACTAGCTTTTATCCGCGGGTTTCACCCCACGTCTTTATACAAATATGAAAAATACTTTATGTAAAGATGCTCTAAATTTACTATAGCACCATACGGTAGGACGGACAGCTGTAAGCTTGGGTGTTATGGAATGAAATGCAATAATAATTTTTTGGCACTGCAGGTGTTTTTAATTAGGTTAAAATATCTCCAATAAATAATATAATAGAATAAATACTATCTATATGGCGGCCGCTGTGGTGTAGTGGTAAGCAGTGCGCGCTTCCACTCCGCAGCGCCTGGGTTCAAGCCCTGGTCAAAACAACATCCCAAAAAATTAAAAAAAAAGGTTTTTTCTTAACAGCGGTCGCCCCCCGGCAGGCAATGGCAAAGCTCCGGGTGTATTTCTGCCATGAAAGACTGCTTCTCATAAAAATACAATCGCCGTTCGGAGTCGGCGTAAAACTGTAGGTCCCTCCACTTTGTGTGACAACATCAAGGCGCACGCCACAAATCGGAGGAGAAGCTCGGCCAAACACTAACATATGTGTAAGAGCCAATCTATTATTATTATTATTATTAATTTCTTACGAATAATAACTCGAATATGATTTCACAGCATTTTTTTTAATACTTCAAAGTATCATTAATATAAATGCGTTTTCCAATACAATTATCATACATTTTGTTTTCGATAAAGTTTCGGGGTTTACTTTGAGGCATTCGTGTTTATTGTCATTGCAAAAGCTAAGTGAACTGGAAACTGATAAGCACCTACCATTGATATGTATGCATACCAAATTTCAATTTTATGTGACTTATGGTTCCGAAGTTATGGCTGATTAAAAATTCTACGACTATGAGATATGCCACGCGCCCTCCTACAAAGTCATTTATATATACCTTACAATAAGCATCTACCATAGATTTGTCTGAATACCAAATTTCAAGTTCATGTGACTTATGGTTCCGAAGTTATAGCTGATAAAAAATTTGGGAGGTGCCACGCCCCTCGCAAAATTGACACCATATTTGCAAATAAAACCATACCTATAACCTTCCCGGGGTAAAAACAAATAAGTGTGCAAAGCTTCGTGCGATTCCGTATAGTGGTTCAAAAGTTATAAGGTAATAAACAAACAGACATTCACATTTATATATATAGACTTATTTAAATTAATTTAAAACCACTGCAATCAGAAATATTCTCGACATATATACTCTCTTGATTTATGTGTGACTTGTAGACAATTTCAAAAATTGCATCGCCAAATATTCTGAAATATTCATTCTGAGGAATAATCCATTTATGTGTGCCCGTTATACATAATATATGATAGATATGCTTTACGAAATATACTCAGAGGTATTAGTTTCATATATTACGCGTACCATTACAATTAATGATATTCGTTGTTTTTTTATAAGAATTAGAATGAAGTGCCATAAATAGTAAAAGTAATTTTTGGGAATGTGAAAAAAATAATGAACACAAATATATACATGTGATTTTTTATCTTCTTTCAATATTCCCTACGAGGCGCGATTGACATGCCATAGTAACTACAAAATTCACTAGGTAACTAGGTAGCTAAATGGTAGCTACAATTTTTTACTTACATAAACATTAGACTGCATCACCAAAAAATGTTGCGGTTTTTCCGCCATGATTAAAAAATGTATTATATTTTAAGACGTCAACCAAAATATTTCGGAAAAATATTAAGATTTAAGTGAGCTGGACCGATTTGAAAATACCTCCAAAAATGGAGTTTTTTATGAATAAAAATAGTTTCTTAAAGAACTTTTTGAAAAGTCCCCTCAGATGACAAACAAAGATTAAGCTTAAAAAATCTGCATAAAAATATTTAAAAAACTTTCAACGGAATCGTAAGAATAAGATTTTTGATGCGGTTTTTTTTTTTACTTTTTTCAAAGATTGATTTACGAAAAACTTGAATAACTGGGCCAAAACTATTCTGATTTAGACTTATGGGATCTCAGTAGAAAGGTATTTTCACACTGTTTTTATTTCTGTCCGAAAATGTCATTCGTGTCCCAATTTATTTAATTTTTCTAACACCAACACATCTTAGGGCGGTATTATCACTTGCGAAGCGAATGAATTTGGCGAAGCGAACGATTTGACGAAGCGAATGGATTGGCGAACGCAACTTAAATTGGCATTAAGAGTGTTCGCTTTTACCAGCTTGTGCAAGTTTTTTGCATCGCGAACACTTTTACTACCTTCTCTGCCTTTTAATTCGCTTCGCCAAAATCATTCGTTTCGCAAGTGATAATACCACCCTTAATTCAACTTTGAATGACGTTCGTTCATCCTACTTTTCTCTTTCATCCTTTGAATGAGTTTATTAGCAAAGAAATAAAAACGGTGAGAAAATACCTTTCCAATGGCACCTCTTAAGTCTAAATCGAATGAGTTTAGGTTCAGTTAATCAAGTTTTTCTTATACCAATCTTTGAAAAAAGTTAAAAAACAGCATCAAAAATCTCAACGTTACGATTCCGTAAAAATTTTTTTTTAATTTTTTTATGCAAATTTTTTAAGCTTAAACCGTTTTGTCATTTGAGGGAATTTAAAAAAAAAAAAATTTAAGAAACTTTTTGTATTCATAAAAAACTCGCAAAAACTCGGTCCAGCTCACTTAAATCTTAATATTTTCCGAAATATTTTGGCGGACGTCTTAAAATATGGAAATATAGTACCGATTTTTTTTTTTGTATGGGGGGTGATGCAGTCTAATATACATATATAAGTATACACGCAAACATTTTAAATGAGTAATGGTATAGAAAAACAATGAACTCTAGAAAACAAGCTAATATTTTATCTAACCAAAAACCTTTTATACAAAAAAAGGGAGAAATATACCACTAGCTCGCTGGCTCCATCAAGTGATCGTACCATCAGGCTCGAAGCATATCACCCGTATGCTGTAATCCGAAAGTTTGTAATTACGAATTCGTAGCTCCGTTCCGAAAATTCGAAACCTGGTATGCTGTAATCCGATCGTAAATATGAACGGCCTTGCCAACTAAAATAGTGAAATTCGAAGTTCTTTATCAGCTGCTTTGACAGAAACAAATCAAAATAAATATAATGGCAAGTGAATAGTGAAATTAAAAAAATTATTTTAATCATTACTTGAAAAGACTTTTCCTTAACTAAGTAAGTAGAATAAAAAGGATTCAGTGGCCGGTGCACTTTTTTCCCAGGAGGAAGAACAGCTAACAGTTGCATTAATATACAAAGGATATTGCTAGGAGATTGTTCTGATCAATTTAGCTTAAATGATAAAATGTAAGNTATTGCTAGGAGATTGTTCTGATCAATTTAGCTTAAATGATAAAATGTAAGCTCCC